GTCTTCGCACTGACAGCGCTGCGGTGCGCTCAGAGCAGCTGCTCACAAAACAGAAAGCAGCTGTTACTACAGGACGAAAAATAAAGGCTGTCCTCAGAATGAGCATCCCTACGTCAGATGAACTGAATCTATAGGAATTTCATCCTTAGCTTATTAACACCCAGAGAAATCCCTTCCTTCTGTTCACATAATTATTCCCCTTCTCTTTCTCATCAATATCTCTTGAGTTCACCTCCTAATTGGAGCACTGTTTCGACTGCTGCCTAGATCAGTGCTTCCCAAATAGCCATTCTTTTGGGTCTTGAATAAATGTTTATTGCCTGTTGCTCTGTCTTCTATTTTTTGGTTAACAGTCTCATGGAGCGGGAGTAACTCGGTTATGTGGGTCTGGCTAGCACTGAAATCACCATCTGATTCATGAAATGGATCCTTGAGTTCTTTATTTTAAGCAATGGAAGGGCCAAGGGGTCTCCGTTGTTGGACATCATTTAGTTCTGGACTAAGGGGACCCAAGTCAGAGTCTGTAGGGAATGAATTAAATTCACTTCTCTGTGAATCAAGAGAGCTATCAAAATCGGAAACTTCAGTTTGTTTACTCTGGTGTGGTGGGAAAAAACCCAAATAACTACGAACAGGGCCGGCGTCCCCACTGTCTTGCTTCCAGCTTTGTAACGTGGCGCCGACCCTCTGAGTGTCTCTCCTTCTGTGAGATGGAGTGCTGATGCCCATCCGTCTGGTTTATGTGCTGCATTTCTGTGCTTTGTGAATGATACAGAGCTCTATGAATGTGAAGTCCCATGGATACTGTGCAAAGACACACCCTTGGGATCTGAAAGCACTTGGCCGACTAGTACATCGTGCCTGTTTTCCTCAGCCAGCAGAATCATCCCCCTTTTAACAGGGAGAAGATGTAAGTAGTGACTGTGGGTCTCTCAGATGGGAGAGGAAATGCGCTGAGAAGGGAAGGTTTTCTTTTCAGCATCACATACATCTGAATAAATAAGGGGTCCCATTTGTATTTCTCTTAGGGGTTTTGGTAACCCTGCAATGCTCTCTTCTGTGGGCACCTGATTTTTAAAAATCCCGAGGAGGCCTTGAAGGCTTGGAGGACTGAGATCGAAGAGAGTGAAGCCGGCGGGCACGGGGGTTCTGCGGGCTCAGCAAGGAGAGCAGGGAAAGGCGACAAGCCGGTGCCTGGGAGAGCCCATGCCCATCTGCTGGGAAGTCCCACCCGTGAGGGAGTCTGTAACTGCCGCCTTCTCGCAGCTTCTACACCCGCCATGGCCTGGCAAGGGGTACCTCCCGGCTCGGCCTCATCTCTGCGTGGGCTGGTGGCAGGGGCGGGGAAGGTGGCACAATTTCGGCAGAGCTTTTTCAACGCCACAGGGACCCTCTGAATCGGTGGGTCATCACAGCCGTTTATACCGGGTGGTGACCAGGGCCATGGCCCGCCCTGCGCAGCTTTGGATGTGTCTTACCCAAAACCTGTCCTGCAGGTATTGAGCAAGTCCGCATCCCTGCCTATGCTTCTCTTTGTAGGAGGAAAGGATGAGAGTGAGAAACTCAGGGTAGACACGGAGTTTAAACCCAGAGTAGCAGCAGGTCATGGATTCAGTAACTTCCACAGCAGCTTCTGAATAGGGAGTGAGACCAAGGGACACTATCGTGAGGACTCGCGGGGAGGGTCATTTTGGGGCGGGAAACCCGGAATGTGGATTTCTGGGTTAGGCGAAGTATCCTCCCTGGAACATTTCCTGCAGGGAGGAGAAAGAGGCGGCCTAACCAGTCCCAGGGGAGAACCAGGAGCAGGGCGGCAGGGCCGGCCTCGGACAGACACAGGAGCACCCGGGGGTCAGGGGCAGGGCGGGCGGGTCCACTCAGCCAAAATCATCGTGCGCTGGGGTTTCCCTCACTGCTGCCTTGTTTGCTTTCCTGTTTGAAAAGTCAGCATTCAGCGGCAATTTAAATGGCGGGCAGGGTGAGGTATGAAGATGTCGGGGCAGGTCATGAAGAAGTCGTGGGTGCCAGTCTGACCCGGGAGCTGTGCCCAGGCACTTGGAGGCTCCCCGTGCCCTCCGCCAAGCTTGGACGGTTCCTCTGTTTGCTTCCCTGGTGGTAGCAGCTGCCCAGGGACACAGCCGTGGGGCAGTGATGCGGTGGCGAGGCCACCTGGGCCGGGTGTGGGAGTGAACCTGGGCAAGGCCTCCCGCGTGGGAGACTGCCCCCGGTTAAAGCCTCTCTGTATGCATTTTTAATTTTAACAAAAGTTTTTATTTACAATATTTTTTTTTTACCTTTTTTCTATATGTATTTTTAAAATTATGGCTGACATAAAATATGATATTAGCCTCAGGTGTACAACATAGTGATTCAACATTGATGTACGTCCCGAAGTGATTGCCATTATAAGCCTGTTAACCATTTGTCATCATGGGTAGAAATCTAGCCGCTGTGACAATGTGGATGGACCTAGATAGTGTCACGCTGAGTGAAATAAGTTGGACGTCTTGAAGTAACGTTTAGGGTATATTAGGCTAAATAAACTGTATTAGCAATTTAATTTCACCTGTTTCTTTTAGCTCTTTAAAATGGGGCCATCAGAAAATTCAAAATTACTCCTGTAGCTTAAAATATCTTTCTCCATTTCTATTGGCCGGAGCTGCTCTAGGCAGCGAAGGTCTCTGGCTGCCCTGGAGGGCAAGGGCGGGGGCGGGGCGCTCAGAGGCAGCGCGGGGGGCAGCGCGGGGGCCGACGCGGGCAACTTGGGCCGCTGTTGGCTGGGGACTTTGAGGGCCTCAAAAAGGTGGGAGGGGAGTGTGTTTGTGTAGTGTGGTGTGTGTATAATGTGGCGTGTACATAGTGTCTATGTAGTGTAGTGTGTGTGTAGGGTAGTGTGTGCATTTTGTGTATAGTGTAGTGTGTGTGGTATAGTGTCTGCAGTGTGTGTAACACGTGTTTAGTATAGTTTGTATGTAGTGTAATATGTAGTGTAGTGTGTGTGTGGTGCAGTGTATGTGTACTGTAGTGTGTGTGTAGTATAGTGTGTATGTGCTGTAGTGTGTAGTGTGGTGCATGTGTGATGCAGTGTGTGTGTGGTGTAGTGTATATGTAGTATAGTGTGTGTGATACAGTGTGTGGAGCGTGGTGTGTGTGGAGTGTAGTGTGTATGTGCTGCAGTGTGTGGTGCAGTGTGTGTGGTATAGTGTGCGGTGCCGTGTGCGGGCACTGTAGCGTGCGGTGCGGTGCGTGGAGCGCGGTGTGTGTAGCGTGGCGTGCAGTGCAGTGTGGAGTCTGTGCCGTGCGGGAGCACGGGCCCTCCCATGTGTCAGGCTGCCTGCGTGGTTCAAACCCGCGCTCTGCTGCTCTCGGGCCACGTGCAAACTGCTTATCTCCTCTCATCTCAGTTTTCCCGTAAAGAAGATCAAAATAGTGTTTGCTCGTTTGTTGTCTCCCCCATGAAGAAAATAAGCTTTGGAGGATGAGGATGAAAACTCCTGACTCCCTTCTGCGAAACTTAGAACCTAAGGCAGGCACAGTGGGCACCTGGTAGGTGTTTATTGAATGAATAAGTACTTAACGTGTGGGGTTTTTAAAATTTTATTTAGTTTTAATATTTTTCCAGCTTTACTGAGATCTAATTGACATCAAACACTTTGTAAGGTTAAGGTGTATGATGCGTTGATTCGATACACTTACATGTTACAGAATGATTATTACCATAGAGCTAGCTGACACCTCCATCACTTCACAGAAGTGCCATGTCTTTTTTTGGTGAAAACATGTAAGATCTGCTCTCTTAGCCACTTTCAAGTATATAGTGCAGCAGCGTTAACTGTAGTCACCACGCTGTACCTTAGATCCCTGGAACTTACGCATCTCGTACCCGGAAGTTTGTGCCCTCGGACAAATATCCCCCCGGTTCCCCGGCAGCCCGCCCCCAGCGACCGCTGCTCGACTCTGTTTATACGGGTTCAGCTCGTGTAGATCTCACCTGGAGTGATATCTTCAGCGGGAGCCTTTCGCTGTCCTAGTTCACTCAGCAGAAGGCCCTGACGCTTCACCCACGTTACAAATGGCAGGATTTCCTTCCTAGTGGCTAAATAATATTCCATTGGGTATATGTTTATATGAGTGCATGTGTGTGTGTGTCAGTGTGTATGTATATGTATGTGGTTGTTTTTAATAGGGCCTGTGATAAAGCACATAAGTAAAAATATTCAGTGCATTTCTGGTATATGCTAGAATACAATTAATGCTGCTATTTCGTATATCAATGACCTCTCCCAATGGCTGCTCCCTGCCCTGGATCTGATACCCGTCCAGGCTCAGGGGTCTAGAAGACAGGGTGCTATCTTCTTGCTCTTACAAACTGGCTTTGTTCCTGTCCCCCATCAGCCCCCGCTCCAGGCCACCTGGCTTGCTGTTCATCTCGCCCAGCAGCAAAGTGCTGACCTGGCCCGGGCATGCTCTGGGCTCTTGGTGCCCACTCTCTGTCTGCCGGGATGCCCTCTGCCCACTTTGCGCCCGTGACCCTGACCGCGGAGGCACCCTCTGGCCCACTGTGCTGTGCAGCCCAATGTCCCCGAGCATCACGTAGTCCATCATTTTTCACTGCGTGAAAAGAAGCAAGACAATAGGATAGAATAGTTATTATTTATCTCAGGGACCACAGACTCTGCCCCCGACTCTGCTATATACAGCTGACTCCCATCTCCTGGGATCCGCAGGGGCTCCTGGGTGGGCCGGTGGGATGTAGAAGACCGAGGAGCAGGGAGGCTTGGATGCTGGTCCAGTTCTGCCCCTCAGTTTCTGGGTTTTAGGGCCAGCATTTCCTCTGTGAGACGGGCCCTATTTTTCCCTGTCCCTTCTTCTCTCCCTCTTCATGGACAGCGAGAACCCATAAGCTCTCCTTGGCACAGAGAGAAAGTTCTAGAAATTCTGGATACTCTGAGGCTCCTCTGGGAGAGATTTAGGAGGGAAGACACAACAGAACACAGAGGAGCCTATGAGAAGTTTATTTTCCAGACCACAACGTATACCCCAGCTAGGTTCCCTTAGAGGAAACCACCCTGGGGTGGGGTGAGGTGCGGGGCAGCGAGGCGAGGCTTCTGGTCAGCTCAGAATACAAACAGATTCCTCAGGAGACTGAACCGGTTTGCTTTGATGGGAATCACTGCCTCGTCGTTGGGGCAGATACCTAACTGAGGAATGATGTCAACCACCGCTGCCATTGTTAAAGTACCTGAAAGAGGCGAGGGCAAAGGTCAGCTTCCGGTAACACCCGAACCCCCAGTGCCCTAACTTTTCTACGGGTTTCAGGTACCTCCCCACGGGGACTCAGTTCCCTCAAATCCTTTGCAAATGTATCTCCCTTCCTAGCACGGTCTCCATCCACTCTGCCCGCTTTCTCCTCCCCTCTCCCTCTTCATCTGCCGCCCCGGTTCTGCACCAGATCTGGAGCCATGTTTCTCTATGGTTTCCCCTCCCTGGTGGGTAGTTCTTCTCTTGAATAATTCTACTTACTGTTGATCTGAAAGTCCCAGTAGAATGTTCTTGGATAATCGTTACATAGGCAGCCGGTGTATTTATAGTTAAAAGGCCCCTCAATTGGCTTGCTGCTGGCCAGGTAAGTTTTAACCTGGGGAAATTTATAGGTAAAAGGGAGAGAAAGACAAGGGAGGGTCAAAGAAGAGGATGAGGAGGCCCTAAGTGGGCAGAGAGCAGGGACGGAGGTGGGGAGAGGCAGGAGGGGCCGCTTTTGTGGTATCATTTCAGGAGCTGCAGTCCAGGTCAGGAGGTTTTCTGTCCTCCCGTGCTCACACTCCTGCGTTGGCACGTGGGTGTCTGGCTCGGGAGGGCAGAGGTGAGTGAATCCCCGGGGCGGGGAGCCCTCGACCTGGGCGCAGGCCGTGTTGCGGGGCGGGCCTGCCTGGCTCCGCGGCCAGGGCTTCAGGGGTTGCCCGTGAGCGCAGCGAGCTGCTTGTGGCGGAAGCTGAAGCCAGGCCTTGTTGCGGCGCTGAGACCAAGCCCCGGCTGTGCCCCCCTCAAGCTCGGGGACCTTCGGTAATGACTGTGATGCCTCCCATGTTCGCTTTTCTCAGTAGTGAGAGGAGAACAACTCCCTGGCCACGCAACCTGGCTGTGAGAGGAGCGCATGAAATCTTGAAGGTGCCCTTGCTTTGCTCTTTTCTAACTCGCACGTGCTTTACGGCTCAAGACCCCAGAGCACTCACTGCCTAGGTGAGGTTCAGCGGCGTCAGGTTCGGGTTCTCGTTCCTGTCTGGCACAGAGGGGTTCATCCTGGAGTCCACAGACCCAAGGGGTCTGGGAATAGAATTCAGGGAGTCTGGGGACTCAGGTGGGAAGAATCTGGATCTTGATTTTCCTACACTCCCATTGAAATGGAGCGTTCCTTCTGCTCTGAATGCCATTAAAGATCCACAGTGGCATGGACAGTGTGTGATTTTATCACAAGAAACGCAAACTTGTTCGTGCTGCATCACAGAGTTATAGGCCTTGAAATAGTGCCCGCCCTCAGCGCTGCCCCGACTGACCGCAGCGCAGGCGGGCTCTCGCCAGGCTGCCTGTCTCCCGAAACCTGCCCGGGTCCCTGGCTGGTGACTCTGCGCCCCGTAGCCCGTTAGCCTCCCACGGCGAATTCAAGGGTGGTCGCCATTGCAATTTTGTTCAAGATACTTCAGAGCTCCTGGTGTTTCCTTAGAGAAGCTTAATCATGCCTTGCTTATCTTTTTATTACATTTACAATAAATGCTCATGATTCAACATTTTTTTAACACTTGTGAAATCAAAACAAAAAAATTCAGGACCTATGGGACGCCCAGGATGATGCATGTGATTTGTTGTCAGAGGCCCAGTGCCCCGTTTAAGGTACTTCGTCAAGCTAAGCAACCACAGCCATCACATAGATAATCTTTATAAAATAAGATTTAACCATTCTGTTGTAAATGTATTGCCTTTTCAGCTAGTGCGTGGGTAAAGAAACATGTATATCACTGTGTCCCAAGTTTATTTTTAATAATTTTACCACGGCTTTTTACTCTGGTAGTTTTCCTATGCAATCCAATGCATTTTACTTAATTAAGGAGTCGGCTTTTCCTTCACTCTACTCCTACTTACCACCATACATTCTCTCAATTCTGTTTGAATGGTAAGCTTCGCAGTGATTTCCTCGTTTGCCCTTGTCACTTGAGGCACCTGGAGGTCCATTAGGATCGGCTGTCGTATGTTTCTGGGAAGACAAAGGCAGGTGGAGAGCAGAGGTCGGTCCGTCGGAAAGAGGGCACCAGGAGCAGGGTCGGGGACCCCGGACGGTGCGGAGGGACAGCGATGCTTCGCCGATGAGCTCAGAATCCCTGGTTTCTGGGCAGGTTTGGTATTTAGGTAGTTTGGTTGGTTAGTGCTGATTTAGTTTTGCTTAATAAAACACCTTGGATACTTTATTTACAACCGAGTGCCATCCTTCCTTCCACTGACAAAAAAATACATTAAAAAATCAATAAAAGTACAATGCCACAAGTCATCTAATAAAATTCTATAGGTTCTGCCGACTGACCACTGACTGGGAGGGCTCATGTCCCCATTAGTGGAGAATTTCGTATCAGCAGAATCACAAATATCTCAGTGCCCTGGAGGGGAGGTTGTCGTGAAGATTCCCCTTCCTCGGTCCCTGGTGGGGCCTAGGATTTGTATTTATTCAGCTCTGTAGGGGACCTGGACCCAGGGCCATCTCTGGGAACCAGAGACGCAGTCATCCACTCAGGCCACGCCACAGTCTGATGGGATAAAGGACACAGGGACAAAGAGAACAGCCAGGCACCCCCGTCAGTCAGCGAGGGCTGCGTTCAGGGCCCGCAGAGTGGCCGTCTCCTTCCTTTGCTGTTGGGTGAGACGTGGGGGGATCCCGTTGCCTGGCCCTCAAGCTTCGCGCCCCACTTTCCAGGGGAAGCATCAGCTTCTGGAGAGACTCTGCCCCCGTGCCAGCTGCTCTGGTGCTCAGTGCACAGGGGAGGGGCATAAATCCCTTCCACTCCGCAAATGAATTTAGGACTGATAGGGTGACCAACCTTCCCAGGGTGCCTGTCAGGGAGGGGTTTGCTGGGATGGGGGACTTTCAGTGCTGCCACCAAGAAATTCATGGGCAAACTGGGATGGCTGGTCACCCTGATTAGCACGGCTTATCAACAACCTGCCACCCCTCAGGGCTAAGTGGGGTGACATTGTATCTGAACCCGTCTCTCTCAGGGTTTCTTGGCCACCCCCACCCCCATTATGTCAGCGTGTCAAGCCCTGGGAGATTTCCTCCGGGACGAAGCATCTGGTCAAGCCACAGTGGGCGCCACCAGGATCACAGTCCAGAGACTCAGCATCCGAAACGTTTTTTTTTGGTAGGGAAACAACCCCAGGTTTGATGAGCAACCCTGCTTCTCCCTTCAGTTGTCTCATTTCCGGCTTCATTTTCGCATGCCCCAATTTTCCTGCTTCCTTTGAACGTGTGCCCTCAATAAGCTGGCTTATGACCCTGTGCTCCCAGGCCCCTAGGGGGTGGGGGGCGGTCATGAACAAGTGGTCCTCACAATTGTCTTTGGACTTGAGAACAGGGAGAATGTTTAAACTGCTAGGTAAGCTCAACCTTGGACTGTGGGGCCAAGGATCAGTGGCCAGGGCCTCTGATCACTCAGTGAGTCCTGCCAAAGGCGCCCAAAGCTATTGTTGGAACGCACAGACCTGCTAAAACCTTCCCTTCGAGGAAGAAGGATGTGAGGAGGTGAGGTTCACCAAGCAGAAAAGTAACAAAGGTATAGACTACAGAAGGCATGTAGGTCAGAGCCTTGGAGAAAGACTAATTGTTAATTACAGCCTCCATGTGCCCGGGGAGCCTTCTGTCCTCAGGCAACTCAGAAGCACCCAGTGGAGATGCGAGGGGAATTAAGGGCGCTCCAAGTGGAGGGAGGGGGGACTTGGCATGGATTTGTGAGGGCTCCTGGGATTAGATTTCTGGGAAGCTGAAAAAGTTTTCAGGAAGGGATATGTAAATTTCCAGGATAGGAGAGGAGCCCGCCCCCCAAAGATTTTTGTTGTGAGAAGGAGAAAGGCGTGACTCACGTGTCTTCCTGAGCTGTGTTGGTCCCCAGCTGCAGACAGAGAACCAAGAGCAGGGCGACATGGCTGGCCCTGAGCAGGAGCTGCAGCGACTGCATGCTGGAGGAGACAGATCTGGTGTCCTAGAGAAGTTGGGGTCAGGTGCCCAGCACACTCTTTTTATGCAGATCAAGGGAGTGGGAGAGCTGCCATACAGGCCCACGTGACTAATCATTCTCTTACCCTTTTCACTCATGATCTTTCCTTGTTGGGCTCCTTTGTTTTTCTACGGAAAAAGTCAACATTCCCTACAGTGTTTGCACCTGGGAGAGAAGTTAGGTTATCCTTCCTCATTTTCTCCGTACCAGGGTTTCTCAGAACAACCAGGACCTCAACAGACACACAGCTCTTTCCTAGCTTACAGAAAGGGTGGGTTCCTTTCTCTCTCTCTCTCTCTCTCTTTCTTTCAAAAGATTTTATTTATTTATTTTTAGAGGGTAAGGGAAGGAGAAAGGGGGAGAGAAACAAATGTGCGATTGCCTCTTGTGCGCCCCCTACTGGGGATCTGGCCCACGACCCAGATATGTGCCCTGACTGGGAATTGAACCAGTGACCCTTTGGTTCACAGGTCGGCACTTAATCCACTGAGCCACACAGCCAGGGCCAGAAGTGGTTTCTTATTCCTCATCATCATACGCCTGTCCAGGCCGCTGTATGTAGCCTTAGCTTTAGTCTTTCCTCTTCTAGCCTCTGGGGGTAAGAGACTCCAGCTATGGTAGCAGACTTTAGGTCACAGCTCTAGGACACACATGCTCGATCCCCTTATACTACATTCAAGAGGAGATGTTCAAAAAATTGGTTCGGGAGCTAGGCTGACCAGGGCTTCCCTAAGGGCCACACCCAACCAGAGATGAGCCTCTCCGGGTGGTGGAGGAGTGAGGCCATAGCACTGGGTGGCATGTAGATGTTTGTGATTAACTTCAGGGGTAATGCTAATGTCCTAAAGATGCTGAAGATCCCCAGCTGCCCAACGTCCCTAGACCAGGGCAATGCGTCAACTCCAGACTGTTCCTCTAAATAGCTGGCATCCCCAAGTCAGACTTCCTGACGCTACAGTCTGCTTATTTCACTGTTGACATGGCCACTTTCATACACTGGTCTCACAGCACGAGGCGTATAGCAAGACCCACACTGGGGAGGATTCCCCCCATTAGAACAGGACCCAGAAGACCGTGTCCAGAAGATTGCTCTGCCCCTGGAATTTCTCTCCCTGGGGTGGGAGAGAGACTCAGTCTTTCTGACATTGGTATTGTGATATTTCTCTTTAATCAGTTAAATCTATTCCTTAGCCTTTGACATGTGACATTGTGGAATTTGTTCCTCCTCTTTGCATGACGGGGGGCAGGCCAGGAAGATCCTCTCTGCCATGAATGGGAAAAATGAGAGTTCTGGGAATTATATATATTTGCTGCCATAGACGTGATTCAGAATTAACGTCTCGATGTATGCTTCTGGTTTCTGGCAGTATCTTTCTAAATCACTCTGCTGCTTATCGACCCCAGCTCCTCCCTCCTCATTCCTTTGAACTTGATGTCATTCATGTCATTCTTCACAACTTCAGCTATTGTTGTGATCATTTGCTTTCTTCTTTGTTTCTCTTCCACGTACCTGTGAACAATGCTTCCATTTCACCTCATCCTGGTCACCATGGTCCTCCTTTACGAATGTTCTCCCACATCGTAATTTTGTTTATATCTGCTCTTTTGCTTATTTACTTGAATAATTTCCATCAGAGGAACATGCTAGCTGAGATTATTGAAGAAGGAAGGCAAGGGACTCTAGGAAGTGTTCCTAAGGGAAAATCCAGGAAGGGCTCTTTGCTGGGGTGAAACTCCCTTTGCAGACCCAGCCTGTCCCTGAGGACGTGCCTCCAGCGGACTCCCAGTGAAGGAGTGCTCCAAAGGGGCAGAGGGCAGTGCCCGAGAGAATCTACTGATGGAAAAGAGGCCGTTCTCAGGCAGGCCAGTGGGAACAGCAACATGTGGAATGCTCAATGCATATGACACATCTTAGGTACTATGAATGTCATGGCTAGTGTGGTAGTTAGTTTTATGTGTCATCCTGGCTAAGCTGTGGCACCTAGGTTTTGGTAAAACACCAGCCTTAGATGCCACTCTAAAGGTATTTTTAAGTCAATAGGCACCGAGTAAAGTTGATTACCCTCTATGATGTCAGCAGGCCTCATCCAATCAGTTGAAAACCTTGAGAGAAATGACTGAGGGGAAGAGGGAATTCTGCCCCCAGAATGCCTCAGGCTCTTGACATGGAAGATTTTTTTGTAAGTTTATGCATCTTTCTCATTTATTTTTTTTTACTGTGTTCTGTTTAACTTGCTATTTTTTGTAATTTCTTGGGATATCAACTTGATTAATTTTCATCATTTTTCAGATATATATATATATATTTAAAGGTATAAATTTGTATAGTTTACCTGCATCCTGTTATTTGCTATCTTGAATTTTAATTATCACTTAGTTTAAACTATTTTCTAATTCCTATTGATTTATTCTGTGATCTAGTTCTCATTTAGAAGTATGTCTTATTTTTCAAATATAGGATTTTTCTAACAGCTTTATTGAGGCATAGTTAATATACAAAACAATACACAAATTTAAGGTGCAGGGTGGGGCAAAAGTAGGTTTACAGTTCATATGGAAAATAATATAATAAATAATAGTACAAGAATAGGCTGTTTCATGCACTTAAAATTGTAAATTTGCTTTTGCCCCACCCTGTATATAATTAGATAAGTTTAGACATGTGCGCATACCTATGACACTATCATCACAATTAAGGTACCATATATAGGATTTTTTGTTACTGATTTTTTTCTTATTTATAGTGAATTTGGAGGCTATACTCTGAGTGGTAGACAGAATAACAGCACCCCAAACTGTTCATGTCCTAATCTCTGAAACCTGTGTTTTACTTTATTTTGCAAAATGAACTCTTTTGATATCATTAAGTTAAGGATCTTGAGGAGATTGTTGTGGGTGGGCCCATTGTAATCACAAAAGTTCTTGTAAGAGAAAGAGGGAGGCAGCAGAGTTAGAGTGAGAGATGTGATGCCATAAACAGAGGCCAGAGCTACACAAGGAAGGGGCCGCAAGCCAAGGGAGGCAGGTGGCTTCTAGGGTCTGGAAAAGGAAACAGATTTCCCCCTAGAGCCTCTAGAAAAAAAATGCAGAACTATTCACACCTTCAGGTTTAGGATTTATGAGTTCTGGACGTGTAAGATAATACATTTGTGTTACTTTAATCCACTTATGGTAATATGTTAGAGCAGCAGTAGGAAACTAATATATGCTGCACAATTTCCATTGCTTTATCCATATTGAAATGTTTTATTTTCAGTTTCTATGAAGTTATGTGTGTGATTGGAAAGCTTGTGCATTTTTGAGTATCACATTTTTTATATATCTAATAGATCAGTTTTTTTTAAAAGGCTAAAGATTTATAAGATCTGAAGAGAAACCAGAGTATAGTTTTAAAGGAAATTGTCATGAAATAGTCTATATTCTTACTAAATTTGTATTAATGTTTTCTATAAATTATTGAGAGCGGTGTGTTTAAATCTTTTGACAAATGAAGATTTGTAATCTTTTTCTTTTCTCTTTTCTTCTCTCCCTCCTCCTCCTTCTCCTCCTCCTCCCCCTCTTCCTCCTTCTTTTTCTTCTTCTCTCTTCTTCTTCTCTCTCTCTCTCTCTTTCCCTGCTCCTCACTTTTGATTTCTTTGGATAAATACCCAGAAGTGACATTTATAGGTCATATGGTAGTTCTACTTTTAATTTATTGAGTAATTTCTATAGTGTTCTCCATAGTGACTGCACCAGTTCATAATCTCACCAACAGTGTATGAAGATTTCTTATTTACACTTATCAACACTTATTCTCTGTTGTCTTTTTGATAATAGCCATCCTGACAAGTGTGAGGTGATATCTCATTGTGGTTTTGATTTGCATTGATTGGTGTGCTGAGCATCTTGGCATGTGTCTGTTGGCCATCTTTACATTCTTTACGGAGATATGTTTACTCAGTTCCTCTGCACATTTTAAAATCAGATTGTGTTTTCTTTTATGTTGCTTGTTTGAGTTCCTTATATATTTTGGATATTAACCCCTTATCAGACAGATCATTTTTGAATATTTTCTCCCATTCATTAGGTTGCATTTTTGTTTTGTTGATGGTTTCCTTTGCCGTACAAAAGATTTTTAGTTTGATGTAGTCCCATTTGTTTATTTTGTTGATCTTGCCCTTGCCCAAGGAGACCTATCAAAGGAGATATTGCTAAGACTGATGTCAAGAGATATACTGCCTATGTTTTCTTCTAGGAGTTTTCTGGTTTCAGGTCTTACATTTAAGTCTTTAATCCATTTTGAGTTTATTTTTGTATATAGTGTTAGAAGGTGGTCCAGTTTCCCTTATTTTTGCATGTATCTGTCCATTTTTTCCAATACAATTTATCAAAGAAACTACCCAATTGTATATTCTTGCCCCCTTTGTCGTAGAGTAATTGACCCTGTAAGCTTAAGTTTATTTCTGGACTCTCAATTTTGTTTTAATGATCTATGTGTCTGTTACTATGCAGGTACCATGCTGTTTTGATTACTATAGCCTTGTAGTATAGTTTGAAGTCAGATAGTGTGATACTTCTAACGTTGTTATTCTTTCTTAATATTGCTTTAGTTATCTGGGGTCTTTTGTGGTTCCATATAAATTTTAGGATTATTTGTTCTAGGTCTGTGAGAAATGCCAGTGGTATTTTTATAGGGATTGAATTGAATCTGCAGATTGCTTTCAGCAATATGGACACTTTGCATATTAATTTTTCCCATTCATGAGAATGTTATATTTTTCCATTTATTCATGTCTTCTACAATTTCTTTCAATAAGTTCTTATAGCTTTCAAAGTATATGTCTTTTACCTATTTGGTTAAATTTATTCCTGGATTTTCTTTCTTTCTTACCTTTTTTTTTTTTTTTGATGCAACTACAAATGGGATTGTTTTATTTCTTTTTTGAAAAGTTTTTATTTATTTATTTTTAGAGAGGAAGGGAGGGAGAAAGAGAGGGAAAGAAACATTGATGTGTGAGGGATACATTGGTTGCTCTCGCAT